GACTTCAGAGAAGAGAAAAGAGGCATTCATCAGCGTAGGATGGCCAACCGAGCGAAGCTCTTTCTTTTTTCTTAAAGTTTAGGAGAGATAGAAAAATTGGTAGAGTTTAGGTATGATGAGGAAAATATAGGATAATGAAGAAAAAAATAATTTTATTGAATTTAGATAGGTTTATAGAGTTTAAATAGGGAGAAAAAAAAATAGAGTTTAAATAGAGAGAGAAAACATTCAAATTTTAAAGTTGTTAGAAAGAAAATTTGAAATCTTGGGGTTGATGTTTGGATTTCAACTATTTATATTTGAGAAGGAAAAGTCTACAAAAGTCTTAATATTAAAAAGGAGTAAATACCTAAAATGGTCCCTCGACTATAGCTAAATTCACAAATTTGTCCTCGACTTTTAATTTCAACCAATTAAGTCCTTAACTTTGCAATTTTAACACAATTTGGTCCTTTGTCTATTTGACCGTTTGTTGACTGCGTTTTTTTAGGATATATATGTAATTTCATGGTCCATCGTCGGTTTTTTTAAGGTTCCGATTGCATTTCTAGACCGCACTGTTACATTTGAATCCACTGTCGGCGCTGCACCCCATGCCGGAGAGATTATAGCTTTTTATAGATAGATCGCCGAAGTCCCTGGAGTGGCTCTTCGAGAAAGCCGTGACTCCAAGCGATGTAGGCAAGCTGAACCGGCTCGGGATCCCCAAGCAGCAAGTGGAGAAACACTTCCCCCCTCCGAAACGGCGCTGTCACCTCCAAGAGCGTTCTCTAAGCTGAACCGGCTCGTGATCCCCAGGCAGCAAGCGGAGAAGCACTTCCCCCTCCGAAACAACGATGTCACCTCCAAGAGCATTCTCTTGAGCTTTGCACGTGAAACTACATATATATATCCTCAAAGATCGCGATCAACAAACGGTCAAATAGATGGAGGACCAAATTGTGTCAAAATTGCAAAGTTAAGGACTTAATTGGTTGAAATTGAAAGTCGAGGACCAATTTGTGAATTTAGCTATAGTCGAGGGACCATTTTGGGTATTTACTCATTAAAAAGCCTACAAAAGTTCATAATTTTTTGAATACCACATGAGCTTTAAAGACTTTTTAAAAGTCTTAATCGAATACCACATGACTTTTAAAGACTCTTTAAAAATTATGATTGAATACCGCCTGACTTTTAAAGACTCTCTAAAAGTTTGAATTGAATACCTCCAAACTTTTAAAGTTCATAAAAATCTTTAAAACTCTATGAAAGTCATGATTGAATACACCCCCCCCCCCCCTTAGTAGGTTATTAGTTCGGATATATTTTTTAATTTTTATGTAAAAATCTTACATATATTATACTTAAAAGTAAAAAGAAATTAAATTTATTCCATTTAAACCAAACATATGTAAAAAAATATTTTAAATATAAGATCTATAAATCGCTCGAAATTAAATTTGTGTTAATTTTATAGCGTTAATCTAAAAAAAAAACAAATTGAAAAAATAAGTGTTAGTAAAACAGAGAATGAAAATATAAAAATTAGAAAGCAAAAAACAAAGAACAGTTTTCTATTAGTAAACGGGCTCGTAATTTTCCACATCATCTTGCAAACTCCATCCTTTCAGAGATCAATCGTTGTATCGTGCACCAGGGTGCACACTGCATTGTGCGCCCCGCCCTGCCCAAAACGATGTCGTTTTGTTAAGTTGTGTGGGGAGTTGACGCGACAGAGTGTATGTGTATTCTGTTATACAATTATATACATTCTATTATACAATTATGTATATTCTGTTATATAATTATGTACATTTTTTTATACAATTATGTACATTCTTTTATACAATTATGTACATTTTTTTATACAATTATGTACATTCTTTTATACAATTATGTACATTCGAAACATATGTTTTTTTTTTAAGAGTCAAGAGTTTATGTGTATTATGTTAAGAGTTTATGTGTATTATGCTAAGAGTTTATGTGTATTATGTATTATGTTAGATTATGTGTATTATCTTTTCAAAAAAGAGTATGTTATTCAGTTATACAATTATGTACATTCTATTATACAATTATGTACATTCGAAACATGAGATTTTTTTTAAAGAAGTTAATAGTAGACACGGAAAGCGAAATTTCTAAAAAAAACAGATACAAAACGATATCGTTTTGAGCCAGGCGTCCTGCTGCACGATATAATTTTCCTTCGGGGATGGAGTTAACCTAATTCTTCCCCTCCTAAATTCCACGCATGACATGTCTTATAATCATTAGGTGTCATGAATTAATTGACCTCACCAATTTTTAATGAAAAAGTAAATTAACCAATCAAACAGTGACATATATGAAGAAGAAATTATGGGGAGCCACGGGCTTCGCGGCCCGACCCGCAAAAGCCCGCCAAAAAGCGGGCCTAATGGGGCAGACCGGTCTGCATTGACACTCCTCAATAGTTATGCTATGGAACCGTGTTCACCATGTGCATGGTGAACACGGGACAGATCCATAATTTCTAAGCTATAGATTCATAATTTCTATACTGTAGATCCATAACATCTATACTGGAGATTCATAATTTCTAGATTCATAATTTTTATACTGTAGATTCATAATTTATGTACTGTAGATTCATAATATCTGTACTGCGAAGACGAAATAATGTGATTGCGAAGAGATTATCAACAAATGAAATACAAAATTATGAATCTACAACATATAAATTATGGATCTACCCCTGTGTTCACCATGCGCATAGTGAACACGTTTCCACAGCATAATTTGCGGACACTCCTATATAACACCATAGATTGAAAGTGTAACACAAGGGACAATTAAGAGCTAAATCTGTTTAAATCAATTAGCAAGAATTAAAGTTTCAAAAATGAAACAATTTAGGAGTCAAAAATGTTGTTTTCTCAATTATAATGGTTGTTATACCGTGGACCATGGTCCATAGTGCTATGTGGACCATGATTGTCAAATGAAACTGTAGTAGAATTAAAATAATACTTTAGTGTTGCTAAAATGAAACTAATGTGTGTGAAAAATGAAACTAAAAAATAAAGCTCATTCAATAACGTATTGTCAAATGAAACTGTAGTATAATTAAAATGATACTTTAATGTTATTAAAATGAAACTAGTGTGTGGAAAATGAAACTAAAATTCAAAACCATATAATAACATATATTGTCAAATGAACGTAGAGTGTAATTAAAACAATACTTTAGCATTATTATAATTAAACTAGTGTGTGTGGAAAATGAACAACAAAATAGAACTCATATAATAATGTATATTGTCAAATGAAATTGTAGTAGAATTAAAATGATACTTTGGTATTGTTATAATGAAACAAGTGAGTGTGGAAAATGAAACTGAAAAATAGAACAATATTGTCAAATGAAACTAAGGGTGTGTTTGGAAACCTGGAAAATAATTTCTGGAAATCATTTTCCGGGTTTGTGGTGTTTGGCTAGGCAGGAAAATAAGAAGTCAAAGGAAAATGACTTGCAGTCAATGGAAAACAACCTCATTCTTCCGGAAAATGACTTCCCATTTTTTTTTTGGGGGAAGTCATTTTCCAAGTGCACTGTTCACGCATGTTCTCTCTGCCATCTCCACATCTCCACAAGCTGCCAGTGAACTGCGTTCCCGTGGGCGGATTCGCCGTCGTCGGAATCGGAGTGATGCCTTCGTCGCCTCTGTTCTCCCGTTCTCCTCCTAGAGCGTCGCCGACAAAAATCATCTTAAAGCTCCTCCCGTTCTCGTCCGAGAGCGTTGCCTCCGCCATCTCCGCCGCCTTCTCCCTCATCAACTGCGCTGCCCTCATAACCTTCTCTTTTGCAGTCTGCGCCGTCCTCAAAGCCTTCTCCTTTGTCGTCTCCGTCCCAGAGCATCCTTCACCGACTGAGTCTTCGAGGTAGATCAAGTAAGCTAGCGGAAATCGAATTTGGGGAAAGTCGAAATTCATGACCCGATCTTTTGCAGTCTGCGCCGTCCTCGAATCCATGACCCGATCGTTAATCAGACACCGACGAGTTCTCCGGACGTTGGCACCCAGCAGACAAATTGAGGAGGCGGACAAATAAATCAGTGATGATGGTGGTCTTTGTTCGCATGTGGCTGCTGTTTCTAGTCTATGGGAATTTCCGGCAACTGTCATGAGAATGTTATTAGTCCAATTTTGAATAATTTAGTGTGGCTGAACATGGGATTAATTTCAACTTGAGAGACAAGACTTTGCTATGATTTTGTTTTGGTTTATTACTGCAATTTTATTTTGGTTTTATATTTTAATTATACAATTATACTCATTTTCCAGAAAATGAACCAAACACAGTTTTCTGTTGTGCATCCAAACACCGGAAAGGAAAATATTTTTTGGAAAATGACTCATTTTCCTGCTTTCCAAACGGACCCTAAAGTGTAATTAGACAATTGTTATATCGTGCACCAGGGTGCACAATGCATTGTGCGCCCGGCCCAAAACAACGTCGTTTTTTATGTTACGATTTTATGTGTATTATGTTAAGAATTTATGTGTATTTTGTGTAAGAGTTTATGTGTATTCTGTTAAGAGTTTATGTTTATTCTGTTAAGAGTTTATGTGTATTATGTATTATGTTAGATTACGTGTATTATGTTGTGACTTTATATGTATTCTACTATAAAATTCTATACATTCGAAACGTGTGATTTTTTTTAGCAGTTAACGGCAGAAACGAGAAACAGAATTTCTAAAAAAAAAATAATACAAAACGACGTCGTTTTGGTTAGGGCGCACAATGCGCCCTGGTGCACGATATTTTTTTTTTTGAATGCGCCCTGGTGCACGATATAATTTGCGGTAATTAGAATGATATTTACTTTATGTACCACATTACTACATGGACCATGGTCCACAGTGAAATTTGCCCAATTATAAACGTCTCTTTAGAAATTTCTTAATTTTACGTGGCGAATATTTAATTTCTCAATTCTTAGAAGGCCTAAATTATAACTCCCCTTTGCCTTATGCCTTTCTTCCTAACCCAGCTATTTTCATCAATTGCTATTTCTCTCTCTCTCACTCTCCTCTTCTCTTTCTCTCTCTCTGCGGCTTGCGTAAATCGCCCATCAACCATGTCAGCTGAATCTGCATCTGCAATTCCCAAAGGCCAAGTACGGATTTCTGTTTTCCTTATTCAGATTTTTCTCGAGTATTTAAATTATTTGCGCACAGATAGTATCATTGTGTGTGTGCGTATATGTGGATTGTTGGGTAGCTGATGCTGTGATTGGGTGGAATTGAATGATGATGAACACAAACAGGTTGATTTGCTGGACTTCATAGACTGGTCTGGAGTTGAATGCCTTAATCAGAACAGCAGCCATTCCATTTCCAACGCCCTCAAGCAGGTAGAGCTATTTGCTGAAATTGGGGTTTCTATGTTTTATAATTTTCCCGTGCATTCAAATGAACTTTGTTTTGCTTTGTTTACTTTAATTACTGCTTAACTGTACTCTGGAGGAGTTGAGGAATTTATTAAGGAATTTGTTTAGGCCTGAGAAAGATTATGGAAATACTGATTGGTGTTCTCTATGGATTGATATTTTTCTAGTTTTTCTTGAAGGGAAATAAGAAGTATTCTTTTCTATGAGTTTATTTACTTGTCATAATGAATTTAATCACCAGAGGCATATGGGAATTTCATATACTTCACCTGCAATATCAGAAGAAGAAAGGTCTTTAGATTATTATTTTTCGTTCTTCACAGTTCATAGTGTGGAATCAAATTTAGATTGGTACTGGTGGTTATGGAGCATTTGGAGTAAGATTCTTGGGAATTATTTAATACAGCAAGAATGTGGAAGTCTGCAAACTTTTTATTTCCCTAAGATGATAATTTCAATGGAAAAAGAGAGATTGCTGATAAAATAAATTTTTGCTAAGAACATTCAAGTGGTTTGCTAAATAGGTTTTCTCATGTCTTCTTTGAAGAGAATGGCCATAGGAAATATACCATTTCACTAAAGGGTACAGATAGCAAACAAGCCCACTGCATATTCCCTGCAAAAGGTGCATGGAAAAGACAGGTTTACAAGTAAAAATGGGTTTTAAACTATGTTTGTAGTGCACATAAGATTTTATGCTTATTTGGCCTTTCAAACTTGCTAGGTACCATATGCAAACACTTTTGTAGCTATGATTGGTTTTGGATAACCAAAGTTGCAAAACCTAAACAACCTTCTTAATATGACACACTAGAAAGGAAAGTCTAATCATTGTCCCTTGAAAATTCATGCTTGACCCTCTTGGATTATTTATCACACAGGGTTTAGAAAAGAAAAGTCCTCAAGAGTAGAGCTAGATTAACAAGCCTTAGACCTTATCCCCATTGGAAAAATAAAATTCTTGAATTTACTATGATCTAGCATTCCATTCCAACAAGCCTGAGTAAGGATCCCTACTGGATCAATATAATTCATGAACTTAATGCATTCTAGCATTCTAACAACCAACTGCTATAGTGTTGTTTGTTGTATTGTTTGGTTAACTTTAATAATTTGATTTTTCTAAGTATTGTGGTTTCTTATTGGATTTGCGTATTATGCTTTAGGGATACAGAGAAGATGAGGGTTTGAATCTGGAGAGTGATGCTGATGAGCAGCTTCTTATTTACATACCATTTAACCAAGTTATTAAACTTCATTCCATTGTTGTCAAAGGTCCTGAGGAGGAAGGTATTAATGAGTAATGTTAAGCATGTTCCACATACAATTCTTTGTTAAAGGCTGTGGACTCACAAAGCTTCCATTGATTTAAGTACTAAATCATCACTATGTCCCAAAACACACTCAGCAACAACAACACAAAAAAAGAAAAAGAAAAGAAAAGAACAAGGGATATTGAGTTGTTGCTTCTTCTCAATCATTCTTTCCTTGTAATGTTTGTTTAACAACATCCTAACTTTGGTCTAAATCCAGGTCCTAAAACTGTGAAGCTTTTTGCTAATAGGGAACACATGGGGTTCAGGTGAAATTCCCAATTCTTGATGCTATTGCTACCATGATAGATTTTTGGATGGGAAAGTCTCTTGTCATTCCATCTGTAATATAGTTACTTAATTTGGTTGACCTATCTGCAGTAACGTCAATGATTTTCCTCCAAGTGACATGGCTGAATTATCTGTTGATAATCTTAAGGTCAGTTTTCAAAAATTGTTCTTAGTTCTTAATTATGAAAGCAAATGAATAAAACATTATAACCTGATGGATTTTTGGTCTATGATTTTCCTTAAAAAGTCGTAGCTATTGCTGCTTTTACTACTGCTGCTACTACTACTACTACTAGTATGATTAATATTATTATTACTCTGTATTATTGTTGTTGTTATTGTTATTAATTTAGTTTACTTTTATTGGGTTTTTTTTGACATTTGTAGGGAAAACCTGTCACATTGAAGTATGTTAAGTTTCAAAATGTTCGCAGGTATACAATCACCATCCTCCATTCTTTACCTCTCTTTTAATGTTTTAGTATAGTTATGTATTCTAATTCTAATGAGTTTTAATCTTGCTAATAATGTTGAACCAGTGTGACAATTTTTATTGAGGACAATCAATCTGGTACTGATATTACAAAAGTTCAAAAGATTCTTCTGTATGGAACAACGTAAGTTTCTCAATCCATGCTCTCATTTTTCATCCTATACTGTTAAGAACCCTGTTCTGTGCTTTATAATGTGAACTGTGAAGTATGACATTTTTGTCGAGTATGATGCTATAGTCTATAGATGCCTGAGCTAGTGAGCTCTACTTTCTTTGAAACATTAACTCTTTTAGAATTATTTTGGCTTGTTGCCTACAATTTGGATTCCAATTATACATGCTTCTAACATGTCTTCTATCAATTTATGTGATACATGTTTTTTTTGTTCAAGTCATTGATATGACAAGAAATCAGCTCAGAAAATCAAGGAAAATAAATCAAGATTGATTTTATCAATTATTCTGATTGTTTGATAGATTGAATTTTATTCTATTTCCTTTACAGTTGTTTGGTAATTTTGTCTATTATTCCTTTCCATCTTTATGATTTTTGATTGCATGTAAACCTCCCTATATAAATGGGGGTTTCTTTTCTAATAAAACACAGTAGAATTTAAGTCAAAAATTAAGGAGAAGGAAAACTCCCAAAAATTCCAAATTATTTTTCCTTGTTATTCCCTTTTCAAGCTCACAAAATAGGCAAACCACCCTCTGCTTCGGACGATCTTCATTGCCTATTGATGTGAGATTTTGCATGTGAACATAACATTTTGGTTTTGTTGCTGAGCATTGACATGGGTGATATCAAAACCTTGCAAACAGAAGTCCAGGCTCTCTAAACTTCTATGTAATCTGCGCAAACATATTTTCAAAAAATGGAGGCAATAGTAGACTCAGTCTAAAGTCTAAATTATTTCCAATGTAGATGACAACCTTGGAAAATTGGTATAATCATTGTTAGCCAAACAAAGCAGCCAGCCGCCTCCTCCAAAGATATCTACCATCATTTTACCATCTACTCCCCTTAACTTGCATCCACATAAACAAAACCCTACACGACTAACTCATACAAAGTGAGAGTTTTCAAACTTTTCAGGCAAAGAGGATACCTTACTCTAATTCCATCACTATGACCTATACTTTGTCAACATTGTGCCTGAGCATGAGAAAGTTGTCACAAAAGCCTTACCGGACCTAAACAGCCAATTCTGGTACACAAAATGAGTTTGGGATGGCCAATGTTTCTCTTGGCATACTTTTAAAGCGGTGATGTAACCTTCATTTTGGCTTACCGAGAAGCTTTAATCTTCTAGGGAATTGGCTAAATTGAAACAAAATGGCAGGCACATGGAGGAGTATATTGATGATATCCAAATGACGCTAGTGAGAAACTGTTAGAGTTTGATATGATCAACAAGTGGAACTTGATAACGGCGGGTCTTGATGGGACCCTTCAAATTGATGTTGAGAAGTGCTAACTCATAGGCTTAGATGAAACAATCAATGTAGCCTGTGATTACGCCCAAAAAATGCAATTGTTGGGCAATCAGGCACCACGACACCACTCTTCAAGCCTATTGTTATACCTTACCATTTGTAAAGGGATATTTCTGTAACAAGGTGGAGCATGTGCAATTTGGGAATATATCTGCTTGTTGACTTGATTAACCTGAAGGGAGATGGTGGGCCAGTAGCAGCTCTTCCTATAGCTTTGGATAAGCTTGTCTAGTGCTCTAAAACAAGTGCACTAATATTCTTCACATTGTGATCATCTGCTGGATAATATTTCCATTTCCCTACTGTGTATCAGTTCGACTTATGTGTGTTCTGTGTTCCTGTAATAGCCTTTGTTTCTTTGTCCAGTATTGCCATATTGGTGCAGTTGCCCCTTTGCCTCTTTCTGTCAATCATCAAGCTCAGCTGAACTGAGGCTAGGCAATATTCAGATTGGCTCGGTTCATCATGGACACACCTTTGAAATGCATATAATAAATACTTTATTAGCTTGGATTTCTAAAAGAATAGTAAGAATTGGATACCAAAAGCACTGCAGTGCTTTATTATTGAAGAAATTAAATGGCTTTGAAGTTTCGATAAACAGGATAATTATCATCCTCACCCCCTTGCTCTCTTCAAAATTGTAATGTTCATCTTTTTTGGAGAAGCCAATTCAGTTTCCATGAAATCCACTTCTGGAAATATTAATCCTTGCTGTTTTACTTAATTCTTCTCTTAGCGTACTGTGTATGTTATATGGCTTTGTTGCTGGATGTTAATTTTGTGACGGTGTCTTGTGTAGGGTGGAGACAACAGATATGAAGGGTTTGAAGAAGATTGAGGATCATTGACCTCGAGAAAGCACGGGTCTACAAGAAAATCCATACTTCGATTTCTCATTTTGAAGCAAGCATTTTCGTTACCATTGTTATGGTGTACTATATGCATCAAGTTCTACGAAATTATATGCCCTAAGAAACAGTCAGCACCAGATACCATTACAAAAGAATTCACAACTTTGGGCAGTTGAAATCTGGAAGAAAATTTTAAATTTGTACACTTATTTTCACCTCTCTGAGATTCTTTCTTGTATGTTGTTAGTTGTGTGTATTGCAGGAGAAGAAAGCTAGCTGGGTTGCTCCCACAACCCACAACCCTACCATTCAGCCAGCATTAACTTTTGGTGAAGATTATTTTATAATAATGCCTCCAGAATCCAGACTAAGCTTATCAATCCATCAGTGGCTACCAAAAATTATGAATTGGATTATACAGCCAATTGGTGTTGACATATGGACTTTGTAATGTGAAAATCTAGTGACTAACAAGGCGTCTGATGTCATCACTGTTATCTTCCATAAGGAAGGTTTCAGGTTTGAATCTCATCCCTTGACATTAAAGTTGAGCAGATGCTAGTAGTTTAGAGTGTATTAGAAAAAAGGCAACAATTTATGGGCAAATTTGGCAACAATGTGAAATAATTGAAAGGGTGATGTTTGCATTTTGTGTTATGATAATACCAAGTGATTCTTGATTGCATATGTGGTGTAATGATGCTGGGTTTCATTCTAAATGGGTGGTTACAGGATCGAATTCGATGGTGGGGGAATTGATTCTTTAGATTAAAAAAGATTGAGAAAATATATAGTAGATATTATCTTGTAAACAATCACGAGTGTTTAAAAAAAAAAAAAAAAAGAGAATCGCACTTTTGGTCCCTTAATTGTTGCTCGATCTGTAATGTGGTTCCTCACTGTCAATTTCATTCAATTGGGTCTCTCAAATCTTTAAATCGTAGTCAATTTGACCCTCTGGTTAGATTTCTCTCAAATTAGGGTTAAATTCATTGACAAAAGGGTAATTCTGATTTACCTTCTTTACCCCCATTCTTCAACCACGTGACTTCTCGCCAATTTTGACCAAACTTTCCGACGCCGGCGTTTCTTGTCACGGCAATTTGATCAGATCATCTGCCTCGCCTCTTTGGGGCGGTCATGGAGGTGGGTGGCGCGCCTCAAGAAGTGGTAGAGGAGGCGTTCAATCAAGTTCGCGACATTCTGGCCGATCTTCGTTGTAAGGGTCCTGACGATCGGAGGGTGGTGACAATGAAAAGGAAGACGGCGAACCACTCTCACGACCTCTACAAAGTTATCGCCGTTCTTAGATTGATGAATGGTCAACATCTGCGAAGGTTCGCGACACAACCCAGTATTCGTCGTTGATGGATTCCTCGACGATTTAGCCATTGCATGGAAGATCAAAGACCATAGATGGAGTCAGGGACGTGCATAGACCCACCCCTAATGCTTAGATTGTTGATCGAAACTCTCCGAGATTTCTGAGTTTTGTTGGGTGGCCGGCGAGTCTCCGGCGAACAGAGGACTTTGCAATGGAGAGGGAGGGTGGTGTAGGCCTCGGAGTGGTCACGGCTGGTTCTGCTGGTGTGTAATTATCTTAGTCAAAATTAATTTGGTTGACTTTTCTTCAAGGCATTTTACTCAATTTTCTTGAACTTCTTTCGAAGTTCTTAATTTTTCTGGGTTTCTCCATCGTTCACTTTTCCGATGTATTCTCCCTTGGGTGTTCGTGTTTATCCATCTGGGTTTCTTGAGTGGTCAACGGAGGTCTTCACCGGAGAGCAGCAACTTGCTTAGAATTTTTCCGGTGGTCAACAGTCCACCGTCTTCTTCCTCCTGGTTTTTCCGGCTGGTCAACTGGATTTTTGTGGTGGTCAAAGCTCCGTGCCAATTCTCCTCTGTTTTTTCAGGCTGGTCAACTAGGTCTAACGGTGGTCAAACCTATGCGAATGATTGAATGGAAGCCAGAGATACTACCTTACTCCGACGAGATTTGTTTTCCTTTATGTTTATGGTTTTTTTCATACATATTTATGCTGGTAATCTCGTTGGTGTTACTGTATCTGGTAGAGCTCGGTCTGCGGTGGCCGGATATGGAGTGCCCTCGGTCCTTGCTGCTGAGGTAAAGAGGCTAAAGCAAAATTACACTTTTGCCCATGGTATTAACTCTAGTTTGAGAGAAATCTGACTGGATGGTCAAATTGACTACGATTTAAAGATTCGAGGGACCCAATTGAATGAAATTGACAGTGAGGGATCACATTGCAGATCGAAAAATAATTAAGGGACCAAAAGTGCGATTTTCCTTTAAAAAAAAATTCTTAAATTTGTGTGTTCAGTCAAACATGACAATGTATATGGGGATGGAGTGCATGCAAGAGATTAGAATATGTAATTTACAAGGAAGAGTCAAAAGATATAATACAATATCTTATGAAATTGTATTGTAATAAAAAAAAAAAAATTACAATTATGCTTGTTTAAAAATGTGCTTTGTAAATGTTGGAAAATGACATTTTCCTTGTATAATGGTGTTGGTGAAAATTTACCTAATGGTGTGTTTGGATACACTTTTCAGACTTATGTTTAATTCAATTGTCGTAAATTTAGTAGAAAAGAATAATTAGTAAAGCATATATCATATGATCCCATCTTTTGTCCAAACTAGAAGTTTCTACTGGGGAATTTACAAATAAACTTACAATTTTAGTAATTGAGTTGAAGTCACATTAAAATTTAATCACCTTAATTTACAAGAAAACTTACCGTCGCTACTCGAAGTGCGTTCTAGGTGAAGTTCTCTTGGAGATAAACCATGCTAGGTTGTCATAACTGATCGGTGCAAACCACAACGGTCAAAAACAGTTCATACAAAGTTGAATTTAAAATCTTGTAATTACCAAATCAACTATTCAAACTTGAAACATTGTAATTTAATCACTTATACTTGGTATATGCACTATGCAGAATTGATTCCTAAACATATCAATTTGTGAGATTTAGTACTTCAACCATTTTCGTTACCCTAAATTTTTATTTATTTATAAACTCTAATGTTATAAAGTATTATGATAAAAACACATTTTATAAAAGGAAATTTTGCTTTTTAATTCCTTGCAAAATTTGCACAAATGAAGATCATGAATTTTTTTTTTTTTTTAATAACTCTGAAGGCAAAATAAAATTGTTCAATGGTGACGCATCATGAGACAAAATTTGCCAACATCTATGAAGAATTAAAGGTGCGTTTTGTTCGCACATGAGAGTCAGAATCAGAATAGGAATCAAATACTTGATAATAGTAATGAGTTTTGATTAAAGTATTTTATATATTTGGTAATATGGTGGAATTGGAATGTGGTTGTTATACTATGGATCATGGTCCACGGAGCTTTGTGGACCATGATTCGAAAATGACACATTTCTTTAAGTAAAGAAACGGTAGCCGTTACTTTTTAACAAATTTCGTATTTTTTGTGCTTATAACAAAATGAAACTACATTGTATCTAAAATGAAACTGTCTAGCATATTGTGTTTATATTATCAAATGAAAGTGTAATTAAATTAAAATGATACTTTAGTTGTATTATAATGAAACTGTAATTAAATTGAAATGATACTTTAGTTGTATTATAATGAAACTATAGTATGCATAAAATGAAACTGAATAACATGTCCCACATATTGAGTGTATATTGTCAAATACAACCTATAAGCAAGTTTATTATATTTAATTATTTATCCAAAAGTATTTTTAAAATGAAAAAATTAAACTAAATAAAAGATAATCTTAAATTATCAATCATTATACCGTAAACCATAACCAGTATTGCAATGTGAACCAGTAAAACACATGTTAATTTTTAATTGAAAAAAGGTTAAATAAACCCTCAAACTTTACTTAAAAAATCAATTAAACCCCTAAACTTTTTAAAGTAACAATTAAACCTTCAACATTGTATTTTGGTACAATAAAGTCCAAAAACCAAGTTTATTTTTAATAATAAGTTTATTATATTTTGATATAAATTTATTTGTAATATACTACCTAAAAATAAATTTGTAATAAAAACAAACATGCAAACGCAATATGCTAAAAATAAACTAGTATTATTCTTCAATATTAATTTGGGCCAAACGATTAAGAATTTAAGATAGCCAATCAGACATTATAAAATCACATTCTATTTGACAAGATTTCAACTTATTTAAAACCACTTTTAATTATCTACACCATCAGTATAATTGAGTACTGCTAGAAAAATTCATAGAATTAACACTCAATTAGGCATTCATAACTCAAAAACTAAAAATGTCAACCCTTTCTAAGAAACCCTCATTTCAACCAAATGACACCTAATAAAGGTTAAAACCATTATCAATCCCTCCATCAAAATTCAAAAGCATCTGCTCACTAACTTTTAAACCATTGCAATTGCAGGATGGGTGGATCAAATACCAAAAAACACATGAATCTCAAATCAATGCAAAAAAAAAAAAAAAAAAAAAAAAAAAAAAAAAAAAAAAACTGATCTATGCATATAATTAAATTCACAGTTATAAATTATAATAGTACTGAAGCCTAGATATAAAAACACTCACAGGAATCAAACTTTGTACACTCATAATTTACAGGTCAGCAACTAACAATATGCAAGCTCAAATGCTCATTGACTTACCAGTTACCAGTTAAAGCCACATAGCATGATATGGAACAGTTTAATAAACAATACAATAACACTTTACTGGGGGTCAGTGAATGCAATCGCAAAAGTAAGGTACTTGGGAAGGCACAGTTATTTAAGCTTGGAAGCAGGATAATGCCTATGTTTACTTGATTCCACCCTGAAATATTAACTGCATCTACCATAGAGATCAATACTGCCAATTTGGAACCGCGGATTTTCCTTCCCATCTTGAACTGCTAGAAATCTTATCCTGCCAATATTTACCATTGATTATTGTAAGTTTTAAGTTTTGGTTTTGATCGGATAGGTGAAGAGATGCTCGATCGGGGAGTATACCTGAAAGCATTTGCTAGGAAACTTTGTGATTTGACAGTATATGTTTTCCGCTGGAAACGCTTATCAAATATCTGGTTAGTTTGTTTGTCTAAAACATGCCAGCTAGAGCCTCCATTTGTGCTTCCTTCAACAACCCTAATGGAAAATAACATAAATCAATCACCCAACTTAAATCAACTATGCCTTAATAGTTAATCCGAATCTACTTGGGGTTGGCTTATATGGCTTCAACTTCTCACTCAGACTTCTGTTTGATGCTGACTCGGACAATTGTCCATTTCACTAGTGTACATTTCTTAATTATCTAAAGTAGAGCTCCGAACTCAAAAGATAATTTTTTCACTTAACATTTAAAATTTGAAGGCATCTTACCAGTCCTTTGGATCTCTTTCTGGAACATCATTAGCTGACATGAATTCATATGCCACAAGCTCATGCATTTGTTCACCATTAACTTGATATAAGATCCAACAACCTATCAGACAGAATGCCAGTTGAGAGACAATAAACTGAGCAACGAAAAGAAAGAGGATTCATACCATGAACTAAGAACCTAGAGGATCTCTTAGGTGATATGCACTTGTTCATCTCTGAGATTGTTGATTTTTTTTTTTTTTGGAAGAAAAACTGGCAGGAAGGGGATGTTTCACCCAAACTTACAACCAGGTAACCAAGGTGCCAACGGCTTACTAGGTTACTAGCAGAAGGCTAAGGTTACTGCCCCAGCTTGATAGCCATTAGTCAGTGACTTATAAAGCCCATGGGCCGTAGGGGATCCCTCTGGGGAAGGATGAGAACAAATGACATGAAGGGGATTCAAACCTATTAACTGGATGTCACAAGCCTTATTCAGGTCATCCTTGCCATTTAAGCTTATTGAATCTAACTATTCCAATTTCCAAATAATATATTTGTATTGCGTTAATTTGTTCCTCCTTATTAACTGCGGATTAAATGATTGTTCATTTCCAAAGATATTAGCCTGTTAGGAGTCCTTTGAGACAAAAAAGTAAAGAGGTCAACAGGCAAACTGCCATTCCTTGTGTTTCTTTCTATTCATCTTAAGACAGTATACATTTATACATACATACATTCTGCATATATACATGTGTATATATATGTATAAGTAATTAAGTATGTTTATATATGCATATGAGTCATGCGCATTTGTAAACAAAAATTCTATGACCTGCTTCATGATCACACAACAAAAGGGAAAAAGAATCCAGCTTTCCTAGTTTTTATTCCTCTTCAGTTCTTCCATTTAGTAGAAGATAGGAAAAACAAATATCATTCAAAGGAAGTGAAAATGATTTTGCCAAATTATGTGATTAGATGAAGATATTACCATAGTCTGATTAATTTTTATTTAAAAAAAAAAAAAAATTAACAGAAAAGTACCTTTTGCCCCATTTGGTTCTTCCCACTTTGACATCCGTGTTCCATCAAATGCAGATGTTGCCTGATGTATTTCAAACAGAATTCAGAACACAAGATCTTTAGACTACAATACAAGGATAGAAGAGCTTCTCAGGCTCCCATAGGATTATAGTCGTTATACTGTTATACAAGTCAATAATACTCACAATTCCAAAAGGAAGCTCCTCCCCACTAGCTCGCACTAGGCCAGAACATAATCTGTTCAACTTCAAAAGTGGCCAAGCAAGTGAATCTTTATCAAGTTTATTACATTGACTAACATTATAGATCACATCATCCAAAGCATGGAACACGACAGGCAGTGCAACGGCGGTTCTCACAGGATCGGCAGCTAAGCATATGTCAATCCTACCACTTATGCCCAAATCACTCTTCAATGATAAAGCTTCAAGTAATTGACCAAAAGATGGCAGCATCTTATTGGCAAAATATAGGGAACTATCTGAAACAGAGTGTAAAGAAGTTCTCCTTTTTCTAAAAGGGGAATTCTTGAGATCAACCAACATCCTTCTGAAAATCGTAAGGACGTCAATAGCTTTTGTTTTTGAGGCAGAATCCTCTACTAGCTTAGAAATAATAGGAGAGAAGGCATTGTAGATCTTAGTCACATGTACATCTATGCATCTACGAACTGGACAAGATGAAGAGCTGAGGGATAAATTTTGATCAGGACCAGTTTCAGATCTCGATAAGCGCCATTCCTTATCCCCACTTAATCTTCCAGGTAAGGAAATTGTAGAATCTTCTTTAGAGTATAAATCTCTCTCAATGGCTTCTGTTTCATTCCTGTCACGTTCTTCCAAAGCTGAAAGCATTTGAGAGGATAAATTTTTCCGTACTTCTCTAGTTATGTTACAGAGAAAAGCAGAGAGTGCAGGCTCTGTAATTAAGTTCCTCCGAGCAAGAACCTTTAACAAGCAAATATTCCCAACTAATTAGTACCCAGAAATTCTAATGTGTTTTGTGCAAGGAGAGCAGACGTCAGGCTTGCTAAAATTAGATTATGTACCTCGGGCCATTTCCTTGTGTAGCGCTTAGTGACATCATGGACTCCATCTTTAGCAATGCCAAACACATAGTTCAATTTCTTGTTCCACCTTTCAAGGAAATGGAGAGACAAGTTAGAAGGAAATAGGAATGCAACATACCTTTTGATTATGAATGGAATGTATATGAATTCAGAACAATATCCAACACTTCCTTCTAGAATCAAAAGGTTAGAATGACATCAATATCTGAGTACAGACTGAGAGGAATGACAACAATATCTGAGTACAGACTGAGAGTAGAAAAGGTTTATTATATTTTTCTGTGAAATAAAAGTGTGTACATAGGACCTATATTTATATACATATGTTGGGTATGCCAATTACTGACTAGGGTTAGGGGCTTAGGGCTAGGGCTACTATGTTCAACATCACTATTACAGCCAACACTCTCCCTTAAGCTAGAGCATATAAGTCCATATGCACCAAACTTGGTAAAAATGAACCCTATACTAGGACCTCTGAGAGACTTGGTTAGAATGTCGACCAATTGATCTACAGACTTAATAAAACTCATAGTAAAGAATCTAAGCATGATCTTCTCCCTGATGAAATGATGATCAACTTCTATATGCTTGGTCCTCTTAGGATATACAGGAATCAAGGCAATGTGCAAAGTTGCTTGATTATATCATATCAATGTCATCTGCAGAACATTATGTCATAGCAAGCAGGGCAATGCCAAAAAGTCTCTTCTGTCCATCTTTGGCTTCACAGAATCATAGTACCAATTTCAACAAACCTTATGATTTCCAATTAGCTCTTTAAAATATTTGAATTCTTTATAGATTCTTGCATACTGCTGAAATGGTTTTAACTCTCTTAAAGAGATAAAAATGGAACCTAGATACTAGAAAAGTATTGACTGAAAAGGAGCAGATATAAAGAGAATTTACCCCTTCTCATATAGTAATGGATTGTCATAAATTCCTTCACAAGGATCAAGATGCATCCATCTGCAAAGTTTACCAGTAAGTTTCCAGGTCACAAATGCATGGATGATAACCACATCTCAGTAAGGAAAGTTTTACCTTCCCAGGGAAAGTGAGAAGCACTCTGTCCATACATGATCTGTAAAGTCCAAAACCTGGAAAAGAACCAAACTAGATGAGAAGATAAAACAAGAACTCAAAGATTCCCCTTCAAAATGACAAAATATGTATTGTACAGGTTATAGATATCCATTTCAGAGTGAACAGACAATAGAAGTCCCGGGAATCCCAAATAAAAGAGAATGTGATAGTGTTGCAATTTTTTAAGCTAAAAAGAGGGCAACATTTAAAATTCAATTAAATTTCAATCAGTATCAAAAGGTTTACTTGAGCATACAAATTTCCAACTACAACTTGACCATTGATAAACATCACCACAAGTTGATTAGTTGATATATGCCATCTTGAAGCCGAGTGTTACCTTGACAGAATGCACAATGCAGACTTAAGGAAGAAAACATCTAGCCAACAAAAAACCAGTCACACAGAAATACACATGAAAATAAGTGAAAGTTAACCTAGTCATCTTTCCCATTTTGACTACTTACATTACATCTTCTGAGATTTTAAACTCATGCCAACTTATGTTTAGTTTCTCCTTTCGGCCTTTACATGAACCTGATTGATTCATTCTTTTTTTTTCCTGCTTTGCATAGCGATGAACCGATGATGAACTCATTTAGCATTGACTTATTGCTAGACTAGATAAGAAAAGTGTTGTTTTCCCCTCCTAAAATTACCATTTACTCCATAATATTTACTCCCTGAGATGGAAATTGCCATGCCAAGTATTCTACACCTATACTAATTAATAAGAAGAAGTGACTTACTGCTAGATAAGAAAAAATATTGTTTTCCCCTCCTAAAATTACCATTTAATATTCACACCCTGAGATGGCAATTGCCATGTCATGTATTATACACCTATAATTCTACCCATGGATTAGTTAATTCCACAAGTGGATAAGTATTGTCATAATAAATGTCCACATAGTGATCAAATACAAAAAGATAGTCCACATAGTAATGCAATAATGCAGAGTGAACATTAGGAGTCAATTTTAGGAAGGAATTGTAGCAGGATACGGAAACAAATTTGGGTCACCAACTTTGTTGACGTACAATACCCATTTAGAATAACTAATTTCTCTGAAGTCTGAACTTTATATTACTTTAGTAAGAAAAGCAGAGTGACATTATTTTTGAGGCAGCCTATTGTAAAATACTGTGTTTAGGAGATTTTGTGGTGGAATCCCTAATTTTTAGGGATCCTATGAGCTATGAATATTTTGCTGGGATAGTTTTCTAATTCTGTATAATCCATTTATAATTTGTTTCTATATTCATTGCTTGTATTAGTAGTAAACTCTCTCAACACTTACATAGAAATGGACATTTTATTTAGTAGATTTACTCTGGAAAAAAGAGGCAAAAATATTACCAAGCGTGATTCATAACCAAAAGCTCGACAATAGAGTGTGAAGCAATTGGCCCACTCCCCACAGCGCCCCTTCCTTGTTTCCAGGAGCTGCATATGGAAGAATTAAAGACAGTCAAAATAATTGTAAAATGAAATCCTCTTCCCAAACAAAAGTGCAATACCTTCAATGGGTCATTGTATCGAGGAAAACGGGTAACATTTGAGCATGAATGGCATCTGTATAGATTTTTTAAAAAGAAAAAAAAAAAGTAACTGTATAAGAAAAGCAGCATATTTAACTTGAGTTTTTTTCCCTCTTTCAGCTGTGCGGGGGGCAAGGCATACGGGGAGACACAATGGTTCTACAACAAGAAAATTAAAATTGGAGAGAAGTAATATTTCATTTTATCAAGGAAAACGGGTAACATCTGAGCACAATAGGCATCAATGGAGATTTAAAATTACAACAACAATAATAACAAAAGGGACTGTATAAGAAAAGCAGCATATTGAACTTGAGTTTTTCCCCTCTTTCAGCTGGGAGCAAGGCATGTAGGAGAACAATGGTTCTATAGCAAGGAAATTAAAAATGGAGAAAAGTATTCATGAATCATGAAAGAGCTTAATCTGATGCCCAACAACTATGAAAACTGTTTGTGAGGTTTTCTACCAAAAGGCAGAAACGTGAAAGTAAATGTCTTTCTGGCATTTGCATATATGCAATCTTTATGACATCACACAATACTGTTATTAGTAAAGAAAGAAATTTAATGGAAACCATTAACTAAATGCATCCAACTAGAAATCAGCTAGATTACAGTATCTTTATTAAAATTTAAACATACCGATAAAGTTCAACCCTTGAAGCACCATATTGCAGTTCTGAAGGATTTGCAGTGCCCATGCCCTCATTTCTAGTTTCATTACCGCAACTATCACAGGGAGGCGCATTTACCCACCTGGAATTGATTAATATAAATGAGCACAATTCTTATGATTTATTTCACTAAACTTTAGTAACATAGCCCCTAAAGGCCTGTTTGCTAACCATAGAATTTTACAATTTTCTAGAAAATTGGAGAATGGAAAATATTGGTGAAACTCACTTATTTCTTACAGCAATTGTAAATGGTATGCAAGGATAAACAATTGCAAAGTTGAAGTATGATGAGACTGGGTCTCAATTTCAAAACTACATAAAGAAACATAAGTATTTATACAATGATACACAACCCAACATGCAAAATCTCTTACTCAAAGTCCAGCCAAACAGACTTTTAAGAAGAAAGCTAAATTCGGTAGGGGCATAGATATTCAGTTTGATTTGACTGATCAAACAAATTATTACATCTCAAAGCAACAATGCAGAAAAGATACACACCTGAATGATTGCTTAAACCAGAATAAAAGCTGCAGCAAGAAAGCATGGTCTTGTTCATTTTTTGTTGGCTCAAAGTTTCCCTCCTAAATAGATACCATAAGGGCATTATAAGAGGTCAAAATAGTTAGTTTGCAGATAACAAGCAGATCAGACTCTCTACAACCGGAATCATCACATTGCAACTAATGGACTGCACTTTCAGACTCAATATACACCAACATATAGACAAATACTCTCCTTCAAGAAGCAGTCCAAAAAAAAAAAAAAAAAAAAAAACATGGTTTATGAAATATATCAATTAGTTCATGTGAACTCATAGAATGTTGGAGTTTAGCTGTCAATAAAAAAAAAAACAAAACTTTTGGACCCTGGCAGATTGATCCTATGACACGGGGAGATGATGGAGTTGTGAAATTCCTTGAAAAAGAATTTCAAGCAGGCACTAATGCCTATTCTGTCAAATGCAATAATGGTAGAAACAAAACATCAGCATTTTTGTTGTGATATGATCAGTTCTCCATTAATGAAGAAGTGCTTAGGTAACACTATTGCATACCAACAAAATAATGCTTATGTAACACTGTTGCATCCCAACAAAGTAGTAATGCTAAACGTGGAATCTAAAACTAAGGCCCAAATACAAGAAAAACTACAATATAAGAAACGATGTCCATGCCTTCTTGTGGTGCTTACTATCTACACGCCCTAATTACTAAGAGAAAATAATATTAGACTAAAGAGTGTCTCTGCTTCCTTTTCATGTCACAAGAGTGCAAGACTTTCACCAAATGTTTGGCTTCGTTGTCCTACATAATCCTTGGGCTGCAGAAGCTGGAAGGCAGACACATACACATGAATGTGGACTATTTTCCTGTTGAATGAATATCCTATCTCATTTTTCAAAACTCCTAAGTCAAAATGAATAAATAAACTCAATTTTTGCAGCTATACCAGAATATAAAAACAAATGGCCCATGCCTTCTTGTGGTGCTTTTGTATCTACTACATTACTAGCTAGGAGCCTAGTTCCTAAAGCAATAGATAATGAGGACAGGAGACAGCACAAGAGTTGACACCAGTTATCATAGCAGTAGTAAATTCATATAACCTGCATATTTTTCTCATATTCTATTAGTGCATCACAAGGTTTGCAATGGTTACACATGGCCTATATTCATTGGAAAGATGAAATCTACTTCTCCATAGACATTGGTTTATCCTCTATGCTTTCATTTCATATTTCTACAACTTCTGGGTTTTGTGATGTTTGCATTTTCATCTTTTAAGTTCAAATGATGGTTCAGTTTTAAGTTTGCACCACCATGTCATTTCTAATGATGGCCTTGGGGTTTGGACAATTCTTGACATTTCTCTGGTAAACCCATTACTTTCAAGTTCATTTTCGATATTCTATTATTCTTATGTTGGCATCTTTATTTGGAAAGAAGATGTTTAGGTGTTCAATTCCTGTTACTTCTGACAATGGTACTCCATAAATGAACAAAAATGTAAATGTTAAAATTGGACTTAAGCTTCCCTAACTCCATGTTAAGTGCATGTCAGTATCCAACTTCTTGCAACTAACATCATACATCTTCCAAATTACTCAAAATTTAGGCACTATGTATACAGATTATACATAAAAATCCAGATTAAGATCTAACCCTGGCCAATGAAATCAATGCTTTCTCCTCAAGCTTATCAGTAGGTACTGTCTTTCGAGCAGCCTCCTGCCTCTGTGGGTCTTCATACTGCAACAAAGCCAAGTCAATAAGAAATAAAACCTGTCACTCATTCAGAGAGAGAGAGAGAGAGAGAGAGAGAGAGAGAGAGAGAAGGATTATTTTGATCTTTGGGTATTGAGTTTTTACATTTACAGGACCAATATATGAGAAATAACTGCTTAAACATGAATTCTATACTATTTGACGTCTCCATACTAAAAATTTGAGGGAATAAATAAAAGGGGGTTTTACAGAAATGGGAATATTTCATATGGCCAAGATGAAAATGGGAACATTTTGAAATTTAGGCAAAAATGGGAAGAAGTTGTTTCTCAAATGCTTGAGTCAATTGAAGTAAAAAACGCATATGCCATATACATTTGGCACCATTTTTAATTACATTCGAAAACTAAATTTTACGTCAAACGCATATCCAAAATGTGTTAACATAAAATTGAATGCCTAAAAATACACCAAACATCCCTAATTTGGATAGGGTTTTTTTTTTTTTTTTTTTTAATGTGAATTACGACAAACATAAAGAATGAGTTTGACAATTAAAATACCCAGCCACTTGGTTTTGGCTTTAAGTCAGATTTTTTTTTTTTTTTTTTTTTTGTGAGTACTACTGACTCTGTTACAATGTAGTATCTGTTCATAACTACGCTTTAAGTTAGAATATTATTTCTTCTAATTAGCACAAGACACATAGTGCAGGGTTGATATGGAAAAACTGCAAAAGAAGGCTTCTGCGGTAGAAACATAGGGTGTACAATATTATGTTGTTGAAGATTTCTTGACTATTGAGTGGTGCTGCATAATTCTAATTTCAGATTTTCTGGAGGCATCTAATAATTAGCTGCTTGAGTATCAGAACGCCTGTTAAACTACTCATCCTTTTGATTTCTAAAGACAAACTCTACCATTTATTCAGTTTACTTCTGCAATTACATCAAAAATAAAAAAATAAATATTATATGAGATACTTCTTGAATTTTTATTCTCAGATTCTTAATCCCAATAACAAGGACATCAGAGCTATTTGGGGATTAGCTCCTCCAGTTCCCAATCGAAGATTGCTTTTGCATCCTAATTGAAAGCTAGCAGGAATCGCATCTAAGGGGCACCAGGCACACTTGTCAAATGCATTTCGGGCATCCACTTGACATATTGTAATTGTTATGTATTTGATGTATTTTACATTTAAAAAAAATAAATCAAATTAGGGATATATGATGTATTTCCAGGAATTAAATTTTACATAAGGCGCATTTGTAAAATTTAGTTTTCGTAAGTAATTAAAAATGGTTTCAAACGTATGGAATTTGAAAGATCCAAAGGCCTGGCGGGTGGAGAATAACAACCACCCGCCAGTTAGACGGAAGCAGAGATGAAGAGGAATGAGAATATGTATATAATACTGAAAGATTACAATATATTACTATAATTCTATGTTTCTAATGAAGAAACATAGTACATATATATACAAACACATAACTGTTAATGTAAGCACCTATTCATAAAAAGACACAACCCTATAGACATGCATAACCCTTTGGTTTTCAACAAAAGGTATATGGCAAATGCATTTCTGATGCAAACTTACTCAAACACATTTGGGAACCAAGTTCTTCCTTTTTTTTTTTTTTTCAAATTTCAAAGATGTCCCCATTTTTGTCCAGACCACATGAAATATTCCCATTCTGTCAAAAACCCTAAATAAAATATCCCCCGGGAAAGACAAAGGCAAAAAAAATAAAAAAATAAAAAATAAAAAAAAGTGCAAACAAGAAAATAATCAATAAAAGATGTGCAGGCTTTACCTGTAGAACTTGATCAATGTAAGGCCTTATCCTCTGCTCAAAGCCTGCATTATTTTGACTTGCTACAAACTGCTGCATCATAAGTGCGTCTTCTTCTGCCTAGAAACACAATCACATTATCATTAGACTTAAAATTATTATGAAATGTCAAAAGATAAAGTACACTAGAAACCGTTTGGAAATGCTATGGATCCACTTATAGTCCTTGTATAAAATGGTGCTGTCAAGATATTGCAAAACAAAAATTTAAGGAAAAAAAAAAAGTCAAAATTGCTACCAAAGATCAAAGCTCTGTCCTTAATTTCTTCTCAGATGCTATTTTAATTTTTGGTTGCCAATCAAAATGTTTGAAAATTTTCCTTGTTTCACTGGACTTCGGAATCGCAATGCTTGCCAAGTTGATATTTGAAGTGAAAAGCAAAAGACAAAGTAAAAAATTTCGTAGAATTGAACCGACAAAAACATATAAACTAAACCTGCAAAAGCCGAGCTAATTCTTCATCCGACATCGCGACTTCAGGCTCCGAATTCTCTTTCTTCTTCGTTTCTTCCTCTTCGTCAATCGACACCAATCGGAGCTTTTCTGCAACCGATGCCAGATCAGCGTCTTCTGATACAACCTGATCATCATCACCTCCCAATATCTGTCCATCATTCCAATTTCACATCAACCAAGCGTAGCATTACAGTGCATATAATTCGATATACACATAGACAGAGGGAGAGAGAGAGAGAGAGAGAGAGAGAGAGAGAGAAACACAGGGCGCGTACCTTTTGTTGATCGGGAGGGACTGAAGTGAGAGAGAAGAGCTGGAATTTGAGGACCTGGAAATAGGGAGAGAAAAGGTAAAAGAAGGAGGTGTTAACGAGGGAATTGAAGAAAGAGAAAAAGAGGGAAGGAGATGGAGAGGAGGACTTCGAAGCCATCGTCGGTGTCGTAATCGACGTCGAAGGTGGAGTCATTGTGGCGGACAGAGAACTTCCGGGCCACCATTTCTGCGATTGATTTCTTTTCTTCAGTGTTGTTCTTCGTCAGGAATTGGATTCTTTCTTGGCAGGAAGGCCAAGCCAAGTCAATGAAGACCTGAAGAGGAAGGAGACGACCTCTGTGCTGTGTCTGCCTGTAGTCTGTAGCCTTCCTTCACAAATAATGCTGCACAATGCAGAAACAAGTCAATTACAATGCTTAATTAACAAGTTAATTCCAGTCTTTAGTAGCCATTCTAAATTTAATTTGAGACAATCATTTTCATTAGACTATTGTTTTTTTTTTTAGTCCTTCTCATATTTTTTTATTTTTATTTTTATTTTTAGTAAGGGCATTTTTTATTTTTTCATTTTTTTTTTGTTATTTTTCCGGTTTCAATCGATTTAATTGATTTAGAACTTTAGATAACTTCTGATTTTTTGTAACCATATTTTTCAACAGATTTTTAGTAAAGTCGTAAACTAATTAAACCGGTTGAAATTGGACAAATAACAAAAGAAAAATATGAATAGACAAAAATGTTCAAAAAGTGTTCAAAAAATAGAAAAGTCATGACAAAAATGTGCAAATAGAAAAGTCATGAGAAGGACTAAAAGTGTTCAAAAAATAATAGTCTGGGATGTTAAATGGCAAAAACGATAATCTGAGACTAAATTTGAAATTGCCACAAAAAACAAGGGATCTTTGATGGAATTAACTCCTTAATTAACCTATCAAATTCAAATTCACTCTCACGCATGCGTTCTACTCCATGAACTCCTAAATCTTACTCTGTAATTTTTATTCGCGATATAATAGACACCGATAAATTACTTTTTTATGTGAGTTCCAACACAAGTGTCTACACCAAGATTTTATGTGTGACAGTAAAAGTTATAATAGAAAATGAAAATACATAAAATTTTCTTTTCTTAATCTACCAAAAGAAAACAATTTTGATTTTTGAATGCACAATCATTTTAAATGGACACATAAAATTATACTCTTAATAATTTTAAATGGACACATAAAATTATACTCTTGTTGAAATCTGGCCTATCAACTAGCCCAGTTCTCGCGTGATGTTTGCATGGTACTGCTTTGTGATTGTATGTATATGAGTATATAGAATAGATATGTAAAAGGGAGATGAAGAACACTATGTATAAAACACAATTTCATAAGACCATCTTTTCATTAAGTCTTCACCCTCAATTTATAGGGACCATTACAACCTTTCACATACTTATCATAAACAAGATATTAAGTAGAAGGCAAATGAAGAGTCTCAAGATTAATGGCCACTAATTGAAATATTTATAACACTCCCCCTTGGCCATTAAATAACTATATTCATGCCTCGTTAAAAACCTCGCTAGAAAACCCAGTGGGAAAAACTAGACGAGGAAAAGAGTACACGAAGTATATTAAACCATTGTGTTGCACCGGTTGCCTCATTAAAAACCTTAGCCTAAGAAAACCCTGTGGGAAAAAACTTAGCTAAGGAAAAGAGTACAACCATAAGCCTTCCGGGCATAATCTTCAAGATTTCAAAGGTCTTCAGGACTATCCACTCAAGTGCACCAACATCGATTGCCTCATTAAAAACCTTAGCCTAAGAAAACCATGTGGGAAAAAACTTAGCTAAGGGAAAAAGAGTACAACCATATGCTTTCGGAGCATAATCTTCAGGATTTCAAAAGCCTTCTAGATTGTCCATTCCAGTGCAGTTAGGGGTTGTCGCTCCCCCAGAAGACAACAATCTTCTAAGCCCACGCATCGCAATTTTATGAACATATTACTCAAAAGTGGATGTAGGAAGAAATTTAGTGAGCATATCTACCAGATTGTTCACTGGGGAAAACTTTCTCAACAAGAATTTTACCACTCTTCTGGAGTTCATGTGTATAGAAGGGCTTAGGTGCAATATTTTTTGTAAGGTTCCCCTTAAGAAACCTATTACTTGAATTGCTTGTGCAACACAATCTTATTTTTTCCTCATATGGGACATTGGGAGGGTAAAACATAACATAACCAGTCTAGGACTTGGCATCATAGGGATCAAATAAAAGAGCCAGTGCCCAAGTAGCCCATCAAAACCACATATGGGTTTCTCACATAAATGTCAAAATCTTTGTACCTCGAAAGTGCTAGAGGATATGTTAAATACCATTCCAATTTTCATTGTATGGGGGCACACTAAATGTTGCTAACAATTTCATCGCAAATCCAATATCAGGCCTGATGCGATTATGGAACTTCTAGTTCAATAATAGTGCTCCAATAGGAATGAAGTGATGGACTTCCAGTCCCTAAATATCCTCATTATCATCTTCGAGTCTAAATGGTCCTTTATCTACTTCAAGATATTATTGGACAACTGTTTGTGTGATAAGTAAATAATACTTATCCATATAAAACATCTTCAAGACATTTTTCAAATAGGCTAACTGGTGTATAAAACCTCTTCAAGGAGAAGCTCGATCTTCAGGTCGAGACAATACTTGGATTTCCCAAGTCTTTTATTTCAAAACTCCGTCTTTCGGTATGAGCTAATATCACCAAGCTCTCTTTGTGTTTCAATAACATTTAAACCATCAATATCGACTGAGATAATGAATAAGTAACTCCATTAGCAATTCGTTAACGAATACATAATGGTACATATTATTCGCATATTCCTTCTTCGGGAGGAAAACACTCAGTCAATAATATTCAAGTCATACAAAGACTTGGTAGTTTAATGCTACACGTTGCTATTTTCACTTTCTTTATTTCAAAAGTGTTCAATCCATCAGGGATTTACAAATAAATATTAGCGTCTAATGACCCGTAAGTTTGTTGGTCATGACGTTCATCAACTGCATATCTAAATTTATAATTCACTGCCAATGATGTTAATTAGCGGAACGTAATGGCATATGTTATGGGAGAGAACATTTGATCAAAAATCAATTTAAGGTCTCTGCGTAAAACCTTAAGATACCAGTCTCGCTTTATATCATACCACCAGATTATTTGTATTTCTCTTTTGTACAAACACCCATTTGTAACCTTCAGGGTTAACATTAAATGGTGTACTTGTTATAAAGAGAATACAGTTTTAGCGAGTTGAGCTGTATATGCCTTAATTGCTCCTTTATACATAAAAAATACCAAGACACAACTGGTGCCTAGCTCTGGATCCAGATTCTCATATAACGAGAGCAATTTGTAAAGGCAATTCTGTTGTCGACAACTATAACATTTTTCATAAATTTCTCCCATATATATAAAATAATGGCAATTTCTAATTCAACCAGACTCTAGACATTTCCCAAAGATATTTTTATCTGGTCATTCCGCATCCCCATTATTATAATTTTGGGTGCACCTATAAATTTACTGGGTTTTTTTTTTTCGCCTTCTGGACGAATGCCTTCAGGACATACTTCTTTAATCGATTTCAAGAGTGACGAAATTTTCTACTAGTTTTAGCTTTCCGCGGATTCTTGTCTTTTATACCAACATGTCTCCACGCTTCTGGCGTCAAGGAGCATTGGTAAATACATACGGTCCAAGTTCGGGAAGATACATGGGACCCAGTCACTCTTTTTATCAGTATATATATTGTCAGATTAATTATCTTCTGAACTTCCAGTTCAGTTTACTTCTTATGAACTTCTAGTTCAGTCTACCTAGTACGTGAATTCAAATATTGAAGATCAATCATTCATAGAATTTCTCGGCATTCTATAAAATTTGAGCTCTTATCTCCCCCTAATGCCGTGAAATGATCTTCATAAACTGTGCAGTCAGCGTACCTAATTTATATATTGATCCCTTATCATGGGCTCTAAGGATTTAAATAACAAATGGATGTTTATAATCAACATATACATGCCCACAAAGGTACGCTATGATGGTGATATAGGAAAAAGACTGCACACTGTGAATAAAACGCAGATGGGAAATGTTAGTTTTATACCACGTACTAGGTTCTAGGGGGGAATAATTATGATATGCAGTAGGTCAGATTGTGATAACCACAATAGCATATAAAACTGATGTCCCCAACAAGAAAATATATAATCAGATATGAAAGCATACATATCAAATGATGTTACAAGGATACGCAACAATCATAGGGAAGCTGTGAAGCTTGTCAAATAAAATAGATCTTCAAGATCTCCCAAAAATCCTTATCCTCAACTTTACATTAGTTCACTAACTATTTTGGGAATTGCTTCGTGCAAATTCACATGATATAATTCACTCCCTCATTTGCTTCGGGCAAATTGATATGAAATAATTCATTTCCTCGTTTGCTTCGGGCAAACTGGCATGATATAAGTTACTCCCTCGTTTGTTTCGGGCAAACTGACATGATATAATTTACTTCTACCTTTCAAATAACATTTAAACAAATTACATCATGTATGACATAAATCAATTATCATTCTTATTTAGGAGTATTCCATTTCTTAAATAACACAAAATTGCACTAAGCCATATTCGGAGAAATATTCAACATTTTGACATCTTAAATTTAGTCAAAAGATGATTATCATAATTTTTTGATAATAGCAATCCTTCTGGAATTGGTATAGGATATGTAGAACAAATAATAATTCAACTTTGAATTAGCAACCAGTTAATTGCATACGAGAGTCATATTGCATGCATGAGAAAAATTTCCATAAATAAGCATGCAAACTAAGAGAAGTAACTCCGAGAAGTAAACTTCCTCCGGAAAATAAAGTCCAGGAAGTAAACATCATTCGAAAAGTAAAAATTTCTAGGCTTACCACTCCATGTTAAAGCTAAGCTTAGAGATCGAAGTAAACTTTCAGAATAGTCAATTCGAGTAGTAAAATCACTTTGCACTCATAATAATTTGCGTCCAAAAATAACTTAACTTTTCGAATATTGCGGTCATGAATTAATTTTTCGGATGCTTCAGGCATAAACTAACTTCTCGGATGCTTCAAGCATAAGCTAACTTCTCGGATGCTTCAAGCATGAGCTAACTACTCAGATACTTCATGCTTCAGGCATAAACTAACTTTTTCGGCCATGAATATATTTTCATGCATTGTTCAAAACATTATCATAGCACCAATCATTTCTTCATCTATACCTCATCATTTCATTATCATAATTTATCGCAATATTTACTTCAAGCAAATTACATAAAATCATCAAGATGAG